TATCTACCTATCCATATCATTTTACTAAACCAGCATTTTTTTATTTTTCTCGCCTCGAGGGAGATTTTTCAAGTTGGTACAGACAGAAACAAGCACTTTTAACAGTTTCCGTCACAATATCTCGAGATTCATTACTCCCTTAACGTTGGCTCCAAGTATTTGGTGTCGTATGTTTTCAGAAACAGTATTGGCAAAACTGATCGTTTCACACCTCTGGGAATGGTAGTAAGCTTTGATTTGGAGAGGTATCAATCTATGATCACAATTTTCCTCATGGGAAAAAATGAGATGCTATTGATGAATGTAAAACATTTTTTTGTCTGAATACGCATAACCACGAGCTTGAAGCATGGCATTTGGCGGTATAAAATATACCGAAAGAAAATTTACGGCCATTAATTTATTTTCAGGAACTTGAGCAATAACGCCATAAATAGCATAGCTCCAAAGGCTCTACAGCATCTAATTCATCTGAAGGTTCTGTAAGTAACTCTTAATGCGATTGGGCGAAATAAGATAAGAAGGTTTGTGAAAACTTACAATTAGAATTTAGACCTTCCTAGATACGTTGCTGTTAGCTCTTTTTTTATTATAATGGCAAAATCTTAAGAAAAGATCGTGTAGATGAAGCAGACAATAAATCACTTACCAGTTTGATTTACTGTTTGTTTGTTTTTTTAATTTGTTTGTCACAGGGAATTACACGATAATGCCATTAAACTTATTGGTGCGAAGGTTTTCTACAATATACCAGAGCTATTCCATCTGTGAGTTCATTTCATTTTCTTGAACTTGTGTTAGTAGAGCAACAGAACAGTGGGACTAGGGTCAGAGTCAGGGTTAGGGTTAGAGTTTGTTGATTTACATACAACGAGAAGAATAAGTTCTATAGTTCCTTTGTTTTCTGTTGTTTGGTTGCTCATTTTTAGCGTTAGTTGATGTCTATTTTGCTTGACCTACAGAGACCTACTGGGTAACAAGCTAGAGACCATCGCTGCAGAAGGATTTAGCCCTGCGTTCCAAGATCTTCCTAAACTACAATGCTTGTGAGTTTAGCTAAGCCCCATCCACGAAAAGAAACTAGTCAGAGAGAAGGTTGTCATCCTATTTGTAACCTATTAAGAATTACCCTTGATAACATTCTTATTTTGAAAACAAGCAAAAATGAATCTAAAAAGTGACTGTAACAAGTGCCTGGTCCGTGATGCATTGCCTTTCAAAAGCCAAGCCTAGCAAGGCTTTTGAAGTTTAAGTTTGCAGCCAATAGTTTTGATCATTAGCGTAAAGCTGTATCTTCCTCTTAATGAAAATGCGACTTCGTTTACGTTTCTATCCATATTGTCGAGGGGTAGGAGCTGTTGTTGCTGTGGTTGCTTAATGTTTCATTTCCATTTTTTCTTAAAGGGTTCTAATGGCACAAAATCCCAAAGCACGTCACGTGATGTTTAACTCATTTGTCAATCTACCTGCGTTGGAAGATTTGTAAGTAGGTCGTGCAAAATTCTCATCATCCTTAGAAGTATTAATTAGATTATTCTCGAAATATTATATGTTCTGAAACTTACGACCTGGGGGGCGATTATTTATTCTCTAATTTTCATTTCGTTCACATTTATTTTATTGCCTTGTTTTTTCTTTCTTTTTCAATCATGCTTTATTATTTCCATGGTTTTCGTGCTTCTAGAGGAAACAAAAATTGATGAAAAGAAAACCAAATTTAAAAAATGGGCTTAATAGTTAATAGTGTAAAGAAAGTTAAAAATATATTTCTTCCTTTTTTTCTTTTTTTTTTTAACAGGTGGTTGAACAATAACGGATTTCGAACATTTCCACATCCATCACTGTCCCACGAGTTAAGACCTGCTTTAAAGTTTCTGTAAGTGTTCACGTCCTCATTAAAAACTTATCAATTAGCTGTCACTGGACCAATTATTTCCATGGCAGAAAAGTACCACGTTTTGATTCTTGGGGGCCATGTTAGGCACCAAATTTTGTTCATGAGGTTGGGGGGGAACTTTCTAAAGAAACTGTGGTGCTGCGTCGGTGGGGGTTATAACCAGATAATCTGGTTTTATCGACTGAGTTAATAATGTAAATTGGCCACCATATGGAGTTTCTCAGGGGGACGTTTCGAGCTTTAGCTCATCTTAGAAGGCACTTTGACAAGGATCCACGCACGAAACGTCAGCTTTGAAACTCTTACGGTGGCCATTATCAGCTCGACGATAAAACCTACTTATTTTGTTAGATTTTATAGCGAATTTTAACTAGCAAAAGGCTATTTTCTAGTACGTACATGTCAATTCTGAAGCTCAACTAGGTTTCATCTGACGAACTACTTTCTTAGGCATTTGGAAACCAACGAGATCGAGTCATTACCAAGCTACGACAAAGACGACTTTCCGCCAGACCTGGAAAATTTACAAGCGTATGTAGGTTACCAAAATCTCTTTCTGAAAGAATTTTCTGAGCTTTAGACTCGAAGCTTGCTCTCTAAGTAATGTTTAGACTTGCCTTCTAGTGATCTCAAAGCGAAGCACAAACCATTCAAGAACACGCCGAACTTGGAAAAACTGTAAGTATATTGGTGTGAGACTTGCGCACCTTCATGTGTAGATTCGGCCGAGACAACTACCTGGACGTATCGTTGACGACCGTTTATTTTGCATCAATTGATTCAAGGTAATGCCTAATAAGTGATGAACGCAACTGTAGTAAATATACGATGGAGAAGCCTCAGTGCAGAAGTGCTCTGCCGATTGAATAAGTTATTGGTATGAAAACAAATAGACAAACAACGAAGGAAACATCAATATCGGCATCTTTTTCACCTTTCACCTTGTCTTAGTTGTTGTTGTTGGGCTGCAATTGTTTTCGTTATTTTTAATTTCTTTAAACTAACTTCCTCTCTCAGGTTTCTTCATTCAAATCGCATTCTAGGCATTGCAGAAGACGACTTATGGATGTTGAGCAAAATGAGTGAACTGTGAGTTGATGTGTGATTAATTTCAAACTAGAACAAATCCTCCAAATAATATTTTCCAAATAATTTCAGTCTTGAACAGAGTCGATGGAAGTCCCAGGGAAGTACCCCTAAGGAACTTCCGGTGACTTCAATCTTTGCATATGTAAAACGAGTTCTGGTCTATTTAAGAAATTCTCAAACGCTGATGTTTAAGAGTATCTTATTTAGATTTTGATAAATTCTATTTCCTTTAACTAGCTACTGATTTGTCAAATTTTATTTTATTAGTTTCTTGAGTGCCAACAAACTGGTGAATTCGAGCGTTCATGCCAATGCATTTAGGAAACTCACAAGATTAACAGTGTTGTAAGTAATATGTAACTTCAATAATATAAACCTGTAGATGTTGGAAAGAACATTAAAGAAGCATAGTGGAATATCAGGTTAAATTAAAAGATTTCATGTTAAACTGCTAGGAAACTCTCTTCCTTCCATGAGTATGCAGATTTTCTGTACCATATACAAAGTTCACGTCATATCTCCTCCTATGCAGGCATCTTGATTGGAACAAGTTTCATTATATTCCTCTGGCAATTCAAGGGAAAAGTCGCCTTCCATCGATCGATAGCTTGTAAGTTTACACAAAAAAGTTTATCAGACAAAATTTTGTCGCATGCCATGTCATTTATAGTAAAATAACCTTGGGTATGCCCTTCCTTTTACCAGAGACCTGAGAGGAAACAGCTTTACATACGTACTTAAGGGGGCGTTTTCTGAACTGGACACCATCAGAAACCTGTAAATATCGAAAATTCTTTTTGTTTCTTTGGAAGCGTTTTGTCCATTTGGTCAGATACTGAATTCTACGAATTTGTATTATTGTCTTAACTCAGACTCACGGTTTAGCTTCTTTCATTTTATTATCGACAGCCATATGCAGGACAACAAAATCGTAACTATAGAAAATGGCGCTTTTAATGAGAATATCAAGCAAATGTAAGTGTCCCTTAAAAGCCTTTTTATAAATGTGAGGTTAGAGAGGATTTGGAAATTAGTGATATTGTACGTTTTAAACGTAAATTACAATCCTAAAGGTCATCTATATTTCCACCCAGTAAAACGGAGGCTTTCAGTGGAAACATCGTAAGGAACCACAGATCAGCATTTCCACGTTATATTGTCTATAACTAGCATAGAGATACTTTTGCACCATTTAAGGTCGATATTAGGAACTGACATATCCCAAAACTAGGGAAATGACATCACAGACCAAATATTGATTGAGCTGCAGATATGTGTTACAGTACAATTGATGTTATTCTTCTCGCAATCTTTAAATAACTATTGTTTATTTACATGTTTGAATTGCTTGCATTTTAGACACATGGAGAGAAATCGCTTCAACTTCAAACATGAGAATCAGTTTACAAACCTGACCAAACTGACTCAGTTGTAAGTGTCGAGTCATCTTTGTAGAAACAAATGTTTAACTAGATGAAAACTGAGTTCTGGCATACCTTTGACATTTCGCTTGAAAATACTACATGTAAGGAAAAGGGAAGTGTCAAGATGTGGTGAGGTAGAGTCAGTCCATTCAGAATTATTCAAGTTAAAACTTGAAACAGTACCATCGTAAGGTTCCTCCAACATGTAAATGTTTTTTCTTCTTCTTCCAGGGGGTTAATGACAAATCAAATCAACGCTATCCCAGATACAGCCTTCCATGGACTTACTAGCTTAAATTGGCTGTAAGTATAAGTTACATTAAACTGCGACTGTTAGTCCACCACCCTTCAAATTGACACTTTCATGATTATTGTTATGTGTTGCATAATTCGTGTTGTTTAGTTTTTAATTATATTTTTCACATGTGTTACCTTGTTGATTTAAACTACCTTGTTGATTTTAATTACCTTGTTGATTTACATGTTTGTTTGTTTTTCTTTCGGTCAATTATCATACTAATAGTTATTCAACAACCTTAACTGAATTGTCAAATGATTCAAAGAAAGCCGAATCCATTTCCTCGATTATATGCTACTTTAGGATATTAAACATATCTTCAATTCTGATGCACTGATTGCATGAGCGATTGCAATAAAAAGGTTAAGCCTCATCACATCGGGTAAAATACACTTAGCAAAAATGCATTCAAGCGCAGTTTGTGGAATGGTTCTTGCAGTGATTCAAATATTCTGTCTCCCGGTTAGCTCAGGGAGCCAAATAGCTATGTTGCGATTCAAGATGGTTTACAAAGTGTAACTTGTTAAATACATTTTTCTTTTTCAGCGATCTCGGTGAGAACCAAATCGGGCGTATCCGAAAGATTTCCTTCCGGGACCTCGTCAATACAGCCACTTTGGATTTGGATCAGAATGAAATAGCATTCATTGAAGACGGAACATTTGCAGGAGTAACACGTTTTAGCCGCTTGTAAGTGGATTGCTCAGAACAATTTTCATTTAGTGCAGTAATTAAATGATGTTGCGATAAAAAAAAACTACAATAATCGTAAAAAAAAAGCTACTGCCAAACTCAGGAAACTAAGAGACACTTAAAATGTCGGAATGTTTCGGTTATGACGGGATAATCGCTCTCTTTTTTTCCCCAGAAAACTCCAAAATAACCAGCTCACTTCTCTGCCAAATGGTGGTGACTTTCATAACAAAGAGATGAACAACATGTAAGAAGCAATATTGTTTCTTTCTTTAAAGGAAATGTTCTACACATATGTTGTGATCATATCATTGCTGATGCTCTTTCTCTTCTGGGCAAGGCTGATAGTGTAATTGTAGGCATTTCATCGTAATTGTTTAATTTCTTCAGAAACTTCTCAAATAACAGAATAACATCAATCGCAAACGGAACCTTTGTAAACGTCAGATGCATCAGCGGTGGCTGCAGCAGTAGCGGTAGAGGGACCAGATGGTGAGCGTGTTAGCTTTCTCTGGAACGTAGGAAAAGTCGTGACAGGTCACGTTCCCGCAAGGCAGTAAACTTTCATGAACTTTTTTTTGACTCGTCACGGCCAATCTGCTCTGGTATTTTTCTTACTTTTTCTGAGATCCATTCTCTCCTAACGCATCATGCTCCTAGCCCGTTTTGTCATTGGTAAAATCAGCGGTCTCAGACGTAACGGAAAAGATACACGCACACCAGCTCGGAATTGATCATAGAAGTAACTTCCTAACTGTAACGACTCAGTGCAGTTGGAATTTCCGTTGTTTCATTTCGGTAGCTTCGCCTTGTCTCCGTCTCATCGTGAGTGTTTGCATGACCACGTAACAGTCCGTTTTCATTTCAATACAGCCGGATATATAACAGATGTAACAGCTAAAAAGAAACAACAAATGACTTTTAAAAAGTTTGGTATTCTTAGTAACATCTGAAACTTGACAATTCCTTAGGCAATTCCGAGGAAACGAAATAGTGTCAATTGACAGGGGAGCATTTCGATCATTTGATGGTAGTGCCTGCACTCTGTAAGTATAAAGTACTTTCTTGATTGTGCTAAGTCGCGCCTGGTATCTATTGGGCTGAAGCTCAATACATATATATGGCGTAATAATATATATCAGTCTTTAAGCAACGCCATCCATCAAACTTTCTTCCGATTCAAAGGTCAGCCTGAAGGCTCGGAGTTTTCTTATTTGTTCTGTAAGGCTTTTTACTCTCTTGGGCAAAAATGTTTACTTATTTTAAGGCGTAAAGTAGTTCCATTAGTCTTTATAGCTCATTTGCAATTTTGGAATGCTTAAATACTTGGATTGAACAAGCATCTGACACGATAGACACGGTGGCTAAATATGTGGGCATCTCTCAGAATTGGAGGGTCAGCCAAAGTGGCTTCAGCATCCTCAGCCAACTCCCGTTACTTTTACTAGTACTAAATGTATTCGTCTTCCCGTAAATGATGGAAACTGAGTACCCCTAAGCTTATTTAACACAGCTAGAAAGACAAGAAATGATCGACCTTTTTTCTCTGTACCACTGGTTTTTTATTTCACACAGAGAATTTGGAGGGGCAAACCAGAAATACAACTTGCTGAAAAGTGTTGATTCTGGAGCGTTTGACGATGTTCGAGCATGCTACATGTAAGTACTGCAGAAATATCCCCATTTTTTTCGCTATTTTGTTGCCATTTTCTGTTTGATGATTGATTTGTTGCGATTTTTTATTCTAGATAAGTTTTGCTAAAGTATTTTCTCTTTCTTTTCCTTTCTTAGAGACCTTAGCAACTTAGAATTGAAAAAGATTGCTTCTGAATCTTTCAAAGATGTTCGTGTTAGCTTCGATTTGTATGTATCATTAATTGAAGCTTAAATGAAAGATATAGACTTCCCTATATTTGTTACTAGTCTCAGTGGTCTTTTGATAATGATTTGATAAAATTTATTAATTGATATATAAACAATAGCCTCTATTTGCCGAATTGCATGACGGATTATTTAGTCCAATAATTCCAGAGCCAAGACGAAGGGAAAATTAGAAAAAATGTATAGCTTTTCCTTTCCATTTACTTTGAATAGCGAGATCAGCGGTTGTGTATTTTGAAAATTAGAGTCTAGGCAGTAAGATCAGTTCGCATCGGATGATTGTAGAATAACATCAAGTCACGATCTTCGACAAACGATAGGGTGAGTATCTCCATGATGGCTCCAATATGCCAATTGGTGATTAGATTTCGAATCGCTAACATAACAGAACAAATCATTTGAATCAAACAGAACAGCTTATTCCAAATTAAATATAGAGATAGGTTTTTGTCGCTATAGTATTTAATTATCCTCTTACCTTCATAGAGAAATGAATAACAACGAGATACGAACTATTGAAGAAAATGCGTTTTTAAGATTCGACGTCAGACACTTGTGAGTATCATATTGCGAATGAACTGTGTAGCAAAATTAACCTATTTATTCAGCAATTTTAGTTCTTGCTTACAGTGAACTTGGCACATATTTTTCTTTACAACAGAGAGCTCCGAAACAATGCTATCCAGGCAATCACAGTGAAGATGTTTGGAGACAGTGGTTCCACAATAAGAGCAATTCTGTAAGGTCCATTAGGACAGGTGTAGCAAGGTTCATTGTTAAAATCACCCTGAGCAAAATTCGCATAAAGAAGTTTCACCCAGTAGGATTCCCCTTTTTCAAAATTTCTCCCCTTAAAGAGTGGTAAAAGGCGAATTACTTCTGAGATCTAAAGGACGCATACGGCATAATTTTGAGGCTAATCTAAGCTGTCAATGGAGAAGTCTAAGAGTTTTCAGGCTGACAACTGATAAATGGCCTCAAAGGGACTCTACTGATAAAACTCTAAATTTGTTTCGACTTTTCCAAATAAATAAACTTATTTTCTCATGTCACACCATATCGAAAAATTCTTCACGCGCCTCTTTCCCCCTCCAACCTCTCTAAGACCTAAGTTGTGACGATAGAAAGCTTGTCTGTTTAAAGGGCCCTATATTCGACCATGAAAATAAACAGTTCAATCTTTCCGGAACAAGTTCTCACTCTTAACGTGTTGTTTAGCGATGACAATGAAAGAGACCGGATTGGGCCGGATACCTGAGTATGCACAGACTCGGCACCCTAAATATCAGCGTCATTGTTTATGGCCATACAGAAGTTTGAGTAATAGCGTAATTGCTTCGGCTTTTTTTTTCAGAGATCTCTCTTACAATGAAATTCAAACTCTTCATGAGGATTCACTGAAAGGAGTCAAAGTCAATGGGCAAATGTAAGAACTTGAATAAGCCACCAACATTTTACTGTGTGCCGTAGAGGGCTTCCATATGCACATTCATGTTTCTTTTTAACTTAATCAAACAGAAACCGATTCAAACTTTGTACAATGTGTAGATCCTCATAATATATTTTCTTCTCCCAACAGACGGCTCAGAAACAACAAGTTAGTTATGTTTCCAGCAAAGGCTTTAGAAATGCAAGACCCAAGGGTTCTGTGAGTGTACCCTTTAAAAAGCAAACACGATAACTTGTTTGAATAGACTTTCGCGTAGTTTTGACATCTCTGGATAAAAACTCTGTTCGAACTAGAAAACTCTTGAATCTAATTAAATGTCATGCATCGAACTCTATCCATTCACCTATCTTTCCTTAGAGCTTGTTATGAATTTTTTGAGAAAAACTGTTCATTCATTTATCTGTTCCTTTGGTTCAATGATTCTCAGGGAACTGCGCCATAACCAGATTCCATCCATTCCCGTTGGTTGGCTAGATCCATTTCAAAACCTCCGACATTTGTAAGAATCTCTTCAGTGTTATTCCATGTTACAAAGAAGAACTACCGTTCAAATTTAAGATGACATGCGTTAATTGCTGTCTCTTCTTTATTGGGGTCCATTGTTGTTTAGTAGCTTTTTTTCCAAATAACTTAGATTGCAAGAATTTTGGACTAGATTACCGAGCAAGTAAATTTTGCAATGATATAAAAATGATTATGTTAAACCTTATTACTGTAATGGCTGATAGTTTCGAAAGAAACTGTTTGGGGCTGCGTCGGTGGGAGTAACGAAATAATTTGGATATATCAACAAAGTTGAAATGGTAAATTGGCCACCGTAATGATTACAAAAGCTGACGTTTCGAGCGTTAGCCCTTCGTCGGAGCGAATAGAGGAATTGTGGGTTGTGTGTGCTTTTAAAGGCAGAAAATGGAGCTACTTTATTGGTGGGTGCATGGCAACGAGAAAAACATGAATAAATTAGTGGAATGAAAAGCGTTCATTGATCCCTGTGGGATTTAGACTGCCGGTTTGAAAGATGAGCTTTTGTTCAAGATTTTTACGGCTTTCCGTGCCACCTAAGTGCAAGGAAAGACCGCAGATTGCCATATGTTGCTTAGAATGATTAGGTAAATTAAAATGTCTAGCGACTGGTTTCGATGTGTCCTTGTCACTCCTTTCCACGTCTCGAAGGTGTTCTCGGAATCGGTCACCTAGTCTTCTGCCTGTTTCGCCGATGTATATCTTTTTGCAATAAGTGCAAGTTATGCAATAGATTACATTAGCGGAGGTGCACGTGAAGTGATCGGTGATCTTAATGGATCGTTTAGGTCCCGATATTTTATCAGTGTTGTGAATGAAAGGACACGTTTTGCATCGTGCACGAGCGCAAAACGTAAATGTAATCTATTGCATAAGTTGCACTTATTGCAAAAAGATATGCATCGGCGAAACAGGCAGAAGACTAGGTGAACGATTCCGAGAACACCTTCGAGACGTGGAAAAGAATGACAAGGACACATCGAAACCAGTCGCTAGACATTTTAATTTACCTAATCATTCTAAGCAACATATGGCAATCTGCGGTCTTTCCTTGCACTTAGGTGGCACGGAAAGCCGTAAAAATCTTGAACAAAAGCTCATCTTTCAAACCGGCAGTCTAAATCCCACAGGGATCAATGAACGCTTTTCATTCCACTAATTTATTCATGTTTTTCTCGTTGCCATGTTCCCACCAATAACGTAGCTCCATTTTCTGCCTTTAAAAGCACACACAACCACAATTCCTCTATTCGCTCCGACGAAGGGCTAACGCTCGAAACGTCAGCTTTTTACGGTGGCCAATTTACCATTTCAACTTTGTTGATATATCCAAATTATCTTATTACTGTAAGTTGTCATTTAGGTGTGAAATCGTGTGAGCAGAAGATTACGTAAAATTGTTTTGATAATTGTTTTCAGGTTTCTACCGGACAATCTAATCACCTTGGTGGAGGCTAACGTCTTTAGTAAGCTAAAAAGCCTCGAGATATTGTAAGTATTTGTCAACTCTTCGTGAAGTCGCCGAAGCCTGACTAGAGCTATTGCATTACAGCTATATGATGAGTGTCTTGTTGAGGGAACCACTCCATGCCATCACGCATGGAGTGGTTTTATAAAACAAAGAGAGAGGTACTCCAGTGAAGAAATCTCATAAATTACTCATGAAATTATTAGTATCCAAGAGCTAACCTCAGGTGACTGATTTTTCTTTACAGAGAACTTCAAGACAATAAGATTAGCGTGATTGAACCAGGAGCATTCAATGGCCTAGACAAAGTGAGAAGATTGTAAGTAATAAAAAGGCTGCATAAGAGTAGTTCTACTGAATGCAACTCTATGCCTCCGTCTCGTGCTCATTTACTAACATTAAATTATCGTCATCCGAGGAGGATTAGCAGTAATTTTTAATTTTCCTTTTATCCATTTAAAACTTGTAAACATCATTGACCTCTTACAATAACAAGTTTTCCCTTTGCAGGTATTTGTATGACAACCAGATTGCATTTTTGCCGACATTCTCGACGATGAAGCAGCTTGATGATTTGTAAGTTAATTTTCTAACGATCAGATTAATACCAATAACGACAATCATAAAAGTGACTCCAATAGAGATCGTTGCGACCAAAAGATTCAGAGAAAATCTTTTCTACACAATGCTGTCTACACCCGCAGCTTCCGCTTTGCTGACAGTGATAAGGACCTCTACGATGTCTCTGTAGTGCACTACCAAACCAACTGGGAACTGATCATTTTGTTAGCTCGTAATAAAGCCTTTGAAATGACGAATAAATGACTGTGAACATATAAAAATCATTTATGTGAACTGCGGATTAATTAATCAGAGGTTGTGAGTTGAACTTCCGTAGAGTCCTGAATTTTCCAGGTTTTGTTTCTACTACTACCTAAGGAGTTTTAATTACTTAAGATCACTCGCATACTTAAAAAGTCTTTTATTGTCATTTTTAGCGTAAGCTTTGACTACTGACTATGTACTGTATTGTGTATTTTAAAGTAAACTGTTTTTCCACAGATCTCTGAAAAATAACCTTCTAGAGAATATCGGGCAGGACTGTTTTTCTAAACTCCCCAAATTACAAACACTGTAAGTATCAACACGGCTGAAAAGACCGAAGTTACTATCTTAAGTTATGAAGACTTGAGCACCGTTGTTAGATTCTGAAAACGAGAGATCTCATCTTTAAACATATTGATCAATAATTTTATCGTTATAAGTCCATCATTTATCGTGGACTAACGGTTATCAACTAATTTCATTTCAGAAATCTTGCAACAAACCAGTTGGCTTGTGACTGTAATGTTTATAACTCAATTGTTGCAGTTATAAATACACTAATTTCTACAAGAGCTGCTGTTTGCCGAACACCTTCACAAGTAGCAGGAGCGAAATTCTATCCAAACGGATCATATGAGAGTTTTTATCCTCAGCAATTTCTCTGTAGTAAGATATCTTAATCATAAAGTCATTGGTTATAATTTTTGGGAAACGAGCCGCAGATCGTTCGCATAAATGTTTTTTCTTCTTTTATGTAAACAGAAAAATGCCTAGTAGGCATTAAAAATCATATTGTGCTAAACTCCAGCGTTAAAGTGTCGATAAATAGTTTTTCCTTAGTATACTACGGGGCCAAAAAACGCTTTACTTTTCGATCATCAGGCAGCCCTTGCATAAGAGGTTACGGCTGATGAAGGCAAACCGAATAGATTGTATTTCACTCAATATGATTTCGCATTAGTCCTCGCCAAGTCCAATGAACGATTTAAATGTAGGCGACGTTCTAGATCCTTGAAGTTCAGGATATTTCAGGATGACGCCATACCCTAAGCGCTGAACTCCAGATCGAAAGGTATTCAATTGAGTTCAACCCATTTCTCATTTGCCTTTTTCATTGGAGTTCTGTGTTTGATCAGTTTTCTCAACATAAATATATTTTAGATCCTGTTAACGTATCAGCATCAGCCCCTGGTGATTACCAACTGAACGTCACGTGGGACAGGCCACATGAACTTCACACGTTTATCAACTTTACACAGAACACGACAACACTGAGCACGTGGGATGCTGTCAAGGTGATATCATTAATTGTCACACACTTCATAGCCTCCATGTAGCCGCTATAGTTTTTATCTTCTCTTGTTGCCTGAGGCTCTTCAAATTTATAGTTTTCATGGACTTTTTCTTTTAAGGTAGTTTTATCCTTGGTTGGATTGTTTCTTTTAATTAGAAATTCGTGTATAAATTAGAAACCTCTTTTGTACGTGGTAACATAGACGCTAGTGATAATCGTGGATTAGTAAAATGATTTCGATCCAGCTTAGGAATGGATATTTTTGTCTCGGTGTGACAAAATCCAGAATCAAAACTGCGAATATCAAATGCTAGATTGGCTCACAATTCTGTTAGTAGTAACTCATTAAGTTCGCGCAAGTGGTTGCAAATTATCTACATATCTTTCCCTGGCTAGCAGACCGTAGTGAATCAAACCACGGTCCTTCACTTAGGCGTTGATGAACTCCCACATAAAAAAGACTAGTGGTCAACCATTTGGAGATGGAGCCCAAGCCCTGAAACCCGTAGCATCTAGAATGAAGAGACACCATGTTTACGATCTCATAAAGCAAATTTTGAGCACTGGATGATTAGGGTTCTGCATGAAGTGGTAGAAAGTCCTACCTTTATTATTATTTTTGTTCCTTTTAGATTCAAAGTGTGAAGTATTCTGTCACGTGCTTAAGTGACGATGCTCCGACATTAATGCGTACTTCGATGAAAGAATTTCTCCTCTTCACTCAAGCCGACGGCGTACGGGCCGGGACCGATTACACTTGTCATGTGACAATGACAGTATCCGCCCACAATGGCACTCATTTAGGGGAAGGTCCCTTGGGATCCTTGTGGACCAGGACGACACCGAAAAGCGAAAAGGTCTCGGTTACTACCGTGGAGGGAAAAGGTTAGCTCGTTACTGACGTTTCGTGCATTGCTTTCAGTCGTGCAGCAAGGTTACGTTTTCACAAGTCATCTTGATTGATAACGATTAAATAAAAGTAACTTTAAGACGCCAACCAGTTTGAGCCTCTACCCTCTTCCTTCGACCATGTTCAACACTACCATTGACTTTGAATCGTGACCCAAAACTAACCAATGGTCTACCACAAGTTTTTTAGGGCTTTTCTGATCTATGTACTTGCAGCTCCAGTAACTAACACGACGGCCAACAAGACTAATTACCTCCTAGATATTACATTTTACGACTTCAGGTAATGTATGCACGAAAATTTTTATTTCGGAGTTTCGTTTAGTTTCTCTGTTTTCTTTTTTTCTTACTCCTCGTTAATGAAGTGTTGGTATCTTACGTCTCATTCAGAGAAGTGATCTTTTTGCCTACTTTATTAGCAAACAATATTCTAGGAACTCCTTCGGGCACTTGCGGCTCTTTATAAAATGTTATTTCATTGCCTTCACTCGGTTATGATATTTTATGCAACTGAGCGAGACTGAAATTGATTCACTGAAGTGTATTATTTTAATGTTGTATCACAGAGCTGCTGATGGTGATTTCGTTGGGATCCCAGGTAATTACCGGGAGATGTACAACAATCCAAGATATATTGCGAGCCCATATGGCAGCTGGTTAGCTATATCTTCCGATCCAACCAGAAATGGTTTCTCCGATTGGTTTAGATCCGAGTCAACAAGAAACCAACATTATGAGGGAGACCTGGAACTGAAAAAACAGTGGGAGACAGACTCAGATGGCAATCCAGTGTTTAGGTATTTCAACGACAAGTTCTTCCCAGTCGATGGCCGCGGTTGGGGAGCTGAAGGTCAACGGGACTGCTACACTAATGCCCTAAGAAACTATGGGTATGTGGCGTTTTGATGCGAAGTGTCACCCAATATTTTAACGAATAGTTCTAAATTTGGCTGAGCCCGCGTCACAATTGTGGTAATTGCTTACTTACACCAGCTCTTATAAATGTACCTTCTTCATTATGGTATGGAGTCACCTCGCTACTCGGAAGACTCGTCACAATCGTGTAATTGCAACATGTAATCGATCTCGCAACCAAGGCGCGCTTACTCACTACCAAGTTATAAAATGCAGTTTAACTTACCCGGCTATTTACTTTGCAAGTCGCTCTGGCGAAGGACTGCTGATCGAAACGTCAGCTTAAAAACCCTTAGCGGTGGCCAATTTACATTACCAACTCAGTTTCTAAAACCAAACTACCTTGTTACCCCTACCGACACAACACTAAAGTTTCTTTAGAAACCTACACCATTTTTACACTGACTTGAGTTGACGAGTCATTTTCAAATTCTAAACGGACTCGACCCGGGACGCGTGCAGTGAAAGCTATAACCCAAAAAATTAACAACGATGCGTGTTTCTTTATCACTTTACCACCTTTATTACGAAACACTTGGCATTTCTCCTAGATTCACCGCTGCGATTCGTTCAACATTCAACTTTTCGGGGCAGGAAAATATGGCTTTTGCAGGTGGTGAGGAATTGTGGGTCTTTATCAATGGCCACCTGGCATTGCAAATCTTCCACAATCCTCTCAATAGGACTATTCCGTGCGCGACAATCAACCTATCCCCCTCTAAAGAAGGTAAATAGAAAGCATTGGATCCTTAACAAAGATTCTGACGTCAAAAGATCATAAATCAGATCCTATATTTTCTCTACCATGGAGGTTATATTTGTGTCTTTATTGCCTATCTAAACCATATGTTAAGGTTATTTTCTTTACACACTTCTTATTCCCCTTTCAGATTATCGATATTAAAATGGATGATCCACAAATAGCCATAGTTAATCAATATTTAAGACTCAGATAACGAACTAATTACCTTTTTCGTCAAACGCTCTTTTCTTCTATTGCGTCTCGTCCGTGTACTTCGTTAATGTATGGTACACCTTTATCCTGTCTTCAATCAAAGTTGCCATTTTGTCTTAAAGGTGAGAGTGAGGTTGTTCCAAAACACGGCGTGATTGTCGATGAGAAGTGTCAAGAGTCAGAACATCTCACATCACAAGCTTTGAACCTGACATTAAGAGTAAGAAGAAACGATGAGCACACATTTAATTTGTGCTGTACTCGATAAAGCTACTGGATGCAAGTTATGTCTTCAAAAGGACTTCAATTTAATTTAACTCCCGTAACGTTGAATTTTTTTTCATCATGTTAGATGGGTGAGCCTTACCGTTTGGAAGTCTTCGTGGCCGAGCGATTCAAATGTGACTCCAATCTGTTTTTTCAAACCAGTGGAGTTAAGTTCATTCGAAAGTGGGAAGAGACTCTTCCTGTTGATTACATGTCTGACATCAGTGAGAATCTGCATGTTGGTGCTTTGGTTCAGGTATGATGTCATTACAACACACCCATTTACCAACATAAGCTTAGAATTTGCATTCCACATGATCCATTTGAACCATAGGAAAATAGAGCCTGTTGGAACAAGTCTCGTAACACATTTTTTTTTCTGCACTCAGGAGTTTGAGGTGTCAGATGCCTTTTCTGTTGGACCGTACGAGGTGGAAATCTTGTCTGGAAATGAACAACGCAGATTCGATGTCAAAGAGGGAACGTTCACCCCTTCGTCACCTCCAGCTACAGCAGAACCTCCATCCTTTGTATTGGACAATGAGACAATCTACTTATGTCCAAATGCAACTGCTAATGTCACTGTTCGACCCATCACTAGTGCTTCCCCAGGTTTGAACTGATTCAAAATAGAACCTCTCTGCGACGGCCAACTTGAACAGCGGACAGTACATTTGTCGAGGAGAGAGATGGCCGCCAAAGCGAGATAGTCGTGGAATGAGGCATGTGCTTTTTTTGAGCGGCTCACAAGCAAATTTTTCTCGAAAAAACGAACACAATCCAAATAGTCATTGAGTATTGCAGAATGGTAATTTCTTTTGGGCGAAAGACAAGGGCTTTCCTCTTGAACAAGCTTCTATGTGATAGCTACCGTTGTGGAAAAGGGGCCGTCGCAAGGAGTTTAAAATAAAACTGTGTATGAAGCGTTCACTGGGACAGTTAGAAGGGGTAATTTTGTAAACGTGGCCTTTAATGTAGTTTCGACTGTAACTTATTTCAGGTTGCAACTAAATCAGGTTAATCCTTTTCTCGAGTTGATCTTTTATGAGAGCTAAAGAGTAACGAACTCGGAGAGTATGGTCTCACACGGGCTTGTTATCAGTACTTACGAGTTTTGATATCTCTGTTTATGTCAGAAATCAAGACTTTTACTATAAACAGTCCGACTGCTCAGTTGATCCTTAACTCCCGGTTGGACTACGAGCATACAAAGAGTTACTTATTGACCCTGAGAATAACAGATACAGGAAAAGTAGCACGCCCCTCTGGAAATATCACGATCCGGGTAAAAAGGAAATTATGAGACTTTTTACGGTATTGTTTTCAAACTGGAAAGAAACAGCAACGTCATTATACGTATATAGTTAAAGAGGGTGGAACACATGGCGAAAAAAAGTTCATAATCCAACTCCTCAAAAGTAATTGTTAATGTAAGATACTATTTTGCATAGCTACGCAGATAAATCGCAGCGAAAAACACAGGTACAGGGGTAAAAAACGAGAGAAATGCAAAATGGATGAAGATCATTTCTGTCTTATTACTAGAGTGGAAAGACCGGCATGAGGATTCGAAGCACTCATAAGAAATCGCACCTCAGAGAAAGGCTCTGTAGTGAGTTAGGCTATTTATTGGTTCATGTGTCACACGCGCCCTGTATACTGTTAGGATCGGCAATTTTGAAAACTTCATGTGTGGAGACAGAATAAGAAAGATGATAAATGTTCTTTTACGCCCCTAAGGTTTTCGTTTTGGACTACAACGATCACTGCCCGGTGTTGCCAAATGTCAATTACGACCTCAAGCCTATTCCTCCTCTTCAAAAGGACGCATTCTTTGTCGCCATGGCACAGGATGGAGACAGTGGAACCAACGGAAAGATTACATATAAGAGAAGTCATATCCTGGAAGCAATGTAATTGTGGAAATATTTATAAATTAGAAACAATTTGAAGTTTTTTACTCCCCCTTCAGGCGACCAGATGTCAGTTATGAGATACAAATGGCTAGAGATGTCTTTTATGTCGACGACAAATATCGGAAAACAAATTATGATATAGAGGAGCAACCAAGTCAAATGGCTTCCATCTGCTAGAAAAATGTTTTGAAAACTCAGAGCCCTCTCCTTCTAATCTCAAGCTTTTAAAAGTTGCGTATTAAGACTGAAAGCTCAGAGCTTTATGTTACTGACAAATTAGGTGATTAGAATTATATCCTGACTCAATCTTCCAACGTTGATGAAGAAAGTGAATGAACACGACGAAATGCACACAAATTTTTCTCTGAAATAGGTTTCTGCATTCCTATTACCCTTCCCATGCTTCAAAACATACATGCATTTCAGTCATACAAGGTTGTCAACTCATCAACTCACCTTTGCGAGAAGGTTGGTCAGGGTTAGATGCACTGATACCAACCTTTTGTATCCCTCTGGACTAAGGTTGTATCATTAACGGCTTAGTGATATTATGTATTATTTACTGTTCATTTTTCATTCAATGAAGACCTCTAATCGAGGCCACGCGGTTCGCAGTCAAGAATGGTTCTGAATTTATTTGGAGTAACAAAACTATCGAATGGACTTACAAATATTTCATATTTGCCGTGGACGGAGGAAATCCAAAACGAGGAGACAGAATACCGCTGACCATAACGTTCAATGCTACGTGCCAAGAAACTGGAGGGATTTTTGTAAATGCAACGAGTGGCGAAGTGTTCTTCAGGGCACCGGGCATGACGGGATCAGAGTATCGTGAGTTACTATACCATTACAACAATTTCCAATCGTGTGTCGACTGTAATTTGGAAACACCTTCACACGCTCTTTATTTGGTCTAGCAAACTTGCGCCACACCACCACCCTCTAAACTGAACGAGTTTTAGTGGCTCGCGTTTACACTGCTTGAGGTCCGCTACTCATGTTCACCCTGATTATATCATTGGTTCCTCATGATTGTTTTCTTTTTTTTGATTAGCTATTTACTATGATTTTAATAGCTTGTGTCTCAAGATCTCAGGCGTTACTTAACCCATTCCATGAGTGACCAAGAAAGAATTTCTATTCACAGTATCAATACCATATCAAGCAGAAATAAGACGAGAATGAAGAGATAAATCATTTAGAGGATTATTAGTTGATCTTGTTCCAAATTATCTGAATTTATATCATAAGAATTGTACTACAGAGATTTCGGGAGCCAAAGGGTTAAATTGTTTTGCAATTTTAAAAGTGTCCCTAAATTTAAGCTTTTTTCAGGCTTTGACTTACACTTTTTAAATCAGGACTTTAAAAAGTCTCGCCCTTTCATCTTTTTAGCGAGAAATTCAACCACGAAACCGAAGTGCCGCCGCTGTAGAACTGGGTACTACTGTGTTGGGGACGGAACCGAGGAAAAGTGTGGAGTGAGGTCACCAACGGAGTTTTCCTTTGGGGGGGCAACAAATTGTAGCTCATGTTGGGAAGGCTGGGTAAGAATGAAGATAAAACTTAATGCTTTTAATAGTCGATAAAAGAGCAGGATCGAATATAAATCACGTCTCATTAATTTTGTTCAGCCTAACAACCTTCCATGCTACGTTTCGACATCTTGAGTCGTATACACAACGAGGGACAAAATCGCCTCAAAAGTGAGAAATATACAGTATACTTCTCTGGTTCCAAATGATACGATACAAACATCGATGGGAAAGAGATAATTTCGCCATAAAAAGCGACTAAGATAACACGGTGAAATGCAACGCCTTTTAATATTTACATGTTGTCAAGGTGACCAACCTTCTCTGATACAATTGTCTTATCAGAAGGGCTTATTCTTTAAGACCTTTTTTTCAGTTATGCCACAACGGTACTGCGTTACCGTGCCCACCAAACACGTATGTCAAATGCAACGAAACGGTAAGTCTAGTACACTGTCACTTCTCTTAATGAGTGGTGTTGATCGCGTTTCATTTTCTTTTGAATAGTATAAGACGACGGTAACCTGATCAGGCTGATTTACGCAAATTTAAGAAGTGAAAAGCTGCTCTCAAGATATTTGCTAATATTTTCAGTTTTACGATCCTTCCCTTTCTTGAAAAACAATGCAACGTGCTAAGCTTTTCCACGGAAAACAATTTTTCTAAATAGTTAGACAAAAAAGTTTGTTTAGATCTAGGCTCGGCTTCTACTCTGGCCTGGGATTAGGGTTAGATCAAAAAAGGTCGCCCTATAAATCAGTGGTTGAGGATAATAGCGACAGTTCATGGAAAGTGTCACTCTGCCTCTCCAATTGTAGTCGTGTCCAGAAAATTGTTACCCCTGTGATCCTGGCACCGTTTGTAAAGCAGGAAGGCAGTACGAGTGTCGACCCGGGACATACAGTGATGGAACAGGTGGGTTCAGTGACTCCAGTGTAAACCACTTACTGTTAAAACGCAGGAAAATCATGATCGCTCTTCATTCGATATTAGGAAATTTAGTAATGTTTTAGCTGTCGTTGTGGCTGTTGATGGTGTGTGAGCGTGTTTTTCTTAATTATTTATTTTTTTGGCCTTTTTTAATCAGAGAATGTAAATTTATCATTTCTCAGGATTTCCTTGTAAGCTATGCCCTCCAGGAAGTTACAACAACAAAACGCGGGCAGAAACTTGTTACTGCTGCCCTCCTGGGTACAGTAGCACCTACATGAAGACATCCTGTCGAGCATGCCCCGCTAATGAGTACGCTGATCAGGGAGACTTTCCAAAATGCACACTATGCAGGACCTGCTTCACAAAAGATTCGTGTAAGTTTTACAGAGCGTTACCGTAAACTTTTTAGATCATTTTAGCCTTTACTGCTCTACTTTAAAGAAGTACATCGATCGATTGACCTCTGTGACTGGCTGAGATTTCACGGTCTGTGTGCCTCTTGGAGGTATTTCCAAACGAAATTTTAATTTTAATTTGTTTTGTTTTGTTTGTTTTTATTTTCGGGTTGCGATGTTTCTTTTTCATGTAACTTTTTATTATTTTTTTTAAACACAAGGTCCATGTTTAGGAGACCCTTGTTTCCCGTCAGTAGACTGTCATAACGTTGGAAACGGGTCATTCGTGTGCGAATCCTGCCCAAATGGGTTTGAAGGAAACGGAAAGACTTGCACTGATATCAACGAGGTAAGTCATCATTACTGGATGAATGCTTGCAGGTTGATTAATATGTGAACATAAAGCGATCTCTTGCCGATATACCATTTGAGATCTATCCGGTCACGTACATTAACGTAAACGAGCTGTCTGGCTATCTGGGAACATCTAAATGTTAAACTGCTACTGAAACGAAATTTTCGTTTCTGAAATTTTTGCTCTAAGCTGTAGTTTTGAATATGCTGATCATCATGAGATAATTTGCTTTGGCCAAAAATAGGCGAAAGATATCTTTTTTAACCGTTCAAATAAAAAATTTTACACAAAGCCATGTCCGGGCTCTGGTACCGAGCGAAATAGATTGATGACGTCACTGGTTGTGTTCACTCCGATAGCGCAGTTTATTTCACTCACTGTTTGTTTGTATTCGTGGGCAAAGGAGAAGGCAGATATTGAAGTTTTGTTAAGTGAATCTTTTTCTGAACGAAGCGAAGTTGTCTCCAGTAACGAAGAGGAAGATGTTACCGTAAAATGGGCCGGTTGACAGGCCTACACGACTCCCCAGAGTGTGCTTAGAGTAGCCTATTCAAAGTTTAGCCCTCACGAGTATGTCTTTCAGCGACCGCCCTCTTTTGTAAGATACGAGCGGCGGATTTTTGTATAGTTCGCTCAGTAGTGGTTGTGTTTCTATTAAATGCCAGTTTTTCATGAGAATTTGCTTTATGTGTGGCACTGAGTACGCAGATCAGGGATTGCGTCTTTTTCGAATCGTTCCGG